CTGGCACTGAAAATAGGATCTCTAATCATGTAGCCTTTATTTAAATATCATAGAACTGAACTATGCTTACAAATAACTTTAATAATTTATGAGATGGCATCAGAAAGTTTCTGGACTCTACATGCTATGATTGTATTGTTCAACAGAAATATGCATACAGCTACTGCTCATTGGTGATCAGCATACTAAGTCAGTGTACTTTGTGCTATTTGCTCATATTCATTTATTACACAACATTTTGTAATGTGTTGGATCTATGATTGTTATAATAGTTGACAAATTTGAGCAATGTACCTGAAATTTAATTTATCTGAAGCTCAGCAAATCTGCTACTGAGGCTCTTAGAATACTTTGTTAGGTTTCTGGAAAAGATTCTTTAGGTTGAATAGAGTGTGTTGCCAGCACTACCTCTAGTTAGACTAAAAGCAGTGGCAACAAAATTTGGCACAAGTAAATGACAAGTGTAAGGAAATAGAAGAATTTTTCAACAAGGTGATATTGCATATGTTGTGGATTCCGAGATGAAATTCGGTCTCCAATGAATGACAAACGCAGGAATTAAAGATAAGAAATTAAATGTATTTACACAATAATACAATGGGTAATACTGTTAGTAAATCCAGGAACGCGGTTAGTAGCAATAATAACATATGTATATACAGTCTCGAAGTAGGACTTCCTTGTAGTCTACATGCTTGTAACTGACTTCTACAAGCGGTTACCTCACACTATTACTCTACCTCCAACTCAATCACAATCTCTGCTCACTCTCAATCTCAATCTCCACTATCTCTCTGCCTGACTGCCTGACTCTGGGTATTTAACGGCAGCAGTACAAATACATACTGGTTGAGTCCACTTGTATGAAAAAGGGGTGGACCCCATAACAGCATATATTTTTGTTTTTATATAAATGAATAAAAAAAGAGAACATACACTAGTATATGTGCAAAACAAAGAAGTTATTGAAAGTTAGGAGTATGGGTGATACACGTGTGTGTGTGCAAAAGTTTGGTCACTAAGAGGAAAGATAACCCCATACCCATAATAAAGTCCCAGTCGTGTTGTCACTAAATCATACTGGGATGAAAAGAGAGATAAGAGCAAGAAAGACAGGAAGTGTCATATTTTTATAGGCGTTTGACAGCACCACCTAATGACTTTTTAGCAAAACTGGCAAAGCTATGTTTAAGGCCAGTCAAGGGTTGGTTCAAGAGGATGATTATTCAAGGCATCAACAAAACAGCAGAAAATGTAGAAAAAATTGTGAACTCATCTGTATGAACAATTGCCAAACAACCCATCAGCTTTCTCACATGATGGTAGTTTGATAGAAGATCATAGTCCAAGAGCTTTCCACATCATATTAACAAGCTTATTTGAACATACCCATTAACATCACTATGTGACTGTAGTGTCTGCAATGCTTTTTGCAGTTTCCAAAAACCTATTGACACTAATTTGACACTTCTGTGACACCCTATTATTTTATTAATAATTTTATTCAAATTAGCTATCCCTAAAAATGTAGAGATGTTTTTTTTAATCATTTCACACCAAGCAAGGCAATAAAGCCACTAACATGCTATGGGCTACTGAGTATGAGAGAATATGAGAAAAAGAAAACATTATTAAGAAGAGAGAACAATAAAAGAGCAGGAATTAAAAAGACAGAAAATAAAGATTGACATTGCATTTAATTTTTTAAAGGTCAAACTTATAGGATCCAAATCCTATATTGTTCTCAAAACTTCAAAAATTAAACAAAACATAGGCTCCTAATTAAATTACACAACTAACATAATTTGATTGGTTCGAAAATATCACAGGGCATGTTGTTGACTACGTCCGCATGTCTGACCTTAATTTGACCTTATCAAAGGTACAGTTGCACCAAAATTTTAAAACATTTTCTGGAGCCTATCACATGACTTACATTGCTTATATAAACAACAAACAATTAAGAAACGGGAAGTGGCTATGCTATGTGATGCCACTCACCATAAAGTAACTTTCAACTGAAGTCTGGACTATAAGTTAAAAATCCTTTTTTAACATGACGACAGTCTATTTCCTTCATTCAATGCAAACTAAACTCATGTTGGCAAACAATGAAGCGACAGACACTCAAACATCAAATATATATATACATACATATATATATATATATATATATATATATATATATATATATATAAGAAATATAGTTTTAAGGTGTGCTATATTTATGGGATAAAGTGCTCAATATCAGAAATAGAGTGTATGTAAATATAAATATAAAAGATTTAAATATTTATAAAGACTTAGGTATTTTAAATCTTTATAAATATTTCAATAGTTAAGCATTTTTTAGATATAGTTAAAAAAATTTTTAAACAACATTTAAAATATTTATTACAGTTAGATTACAGTTAGATTTAAGTTATGAATATCCGAACAGTGACGTTCCATATCATGTGATGTCTGCGTCTTGCGACGGACGCTACTTGCTAACAAACAGTAATTTTAATTTATTTGTAACAAACAGTTATTTCTGATGAAAGATTGAGGGCAATTTGAAATATCAAATATATATATAAATAAATAAATACTTTCATAAAATAAAACATTATTATTTTTTTAATTTGCAACTTTTTCTATATATACATATTAAGAAAGTATACGTGGCTTCTCATTATGCTATATATATATATATATATATATATATATATTTAATTTTCAGGATTTTGGATAAACAAGGTACAAAATTCTAGGCAGAACTGTTGGGGAGTGGCATTTTGACCTCAAGCAGAGTGCACAGGTACTAGACTGATCTCAGGTCAGGTGAACAGATACTACAGGTACTGATCTGTATACAAATAATGCAGTAATTTGTTTGTTAATGGCTTCTTTGCTAATATTTTTATAAAATAGATATATGCTACTGATCAATTCTTTATAAAAATAAATGAATGCAAAACAATGATGGCTTATGGAAGCAGGGCTGATCTTGGGAGTAAGACTCCAAGTTTACAGCCAAGCTTCTGTGGAAGATATAAATAAAGTTTATAGACTTCTTATCTCTAAAGTATAATGGAGAGCAATCAAAGTGTGTACTTAAAAAGATATCTAATTCAAGTACAGTAAAATTAAAAGTACAATAAAATATACCGCTCTCTTTTAATCATCAAAGAGAGCCTTTTAGCTTTCCATCAGCATGACTGATGCTATTTAAAATTTTAACTCTCTACCAAATCCTAAATTCTTATGCCAAACACAAAAACCCTAGTTAGTAGGAACAGAATAGGAAATGAGAACTTGTGCTTAAAATAGGTAGAAATAAGAAATAAGACTCAACTACTGCATAAAATCTTAACGGGAAAACATTTATTACACTAGTATAGACAAAAAAGGTATAAATACAAAATTTGTACAAGAATTAAGACAAGATAATAATTTTTGATATTGCAAAAAAGAAAAAAGATTACAATTTAGAAAAAAGCACAAGGACTCGATTTTGAAAACGACAAAAAGAGAAATCACATTCAAGAAGGCTGAAAAACAAAGGTTTTGAAAAAACGGGAAAAAAATCTACTTTTACTTATCCCACAAGCATCCCTGAGACATATAGTAATTTTAGAAATGTCTTTTTATATTCAAGCTGTTTGTGCTTCATTGAGGCTTTTGGAAAAATTTAAAATTTTTTTTTTTTTGTCTGTTGTCCAATTGCAGGAGAATTTTTACTTGTGAACTTCAAAATTCCTTGGTCACTCTGCAACTAGGTTGTAAGCTTTTGCCTTCTCATCAGAATGTCTTGATATCTGGAGTTATCTGCTTTCTGGAGTTATCTGCTCACCAAAGTTCTTTTCATTCAAAAAAAGAGGATCACAGAATACTCCATTCTGGTTTTCATAGGTGCTTGAGACCATGTTTCATTGGCCAAAAAATATGAAAAAATACTTTTTGCAAATTAAACATGAATCCTTAAGACTTTTGGTGGTTTTTAGCTGCTAAGCCTAAAAGATATACATATGTAACAATTTTTTTAACAAATCATTTGGCTTTCTAAAAATTACACTTTTCTCAAAAAAATGTGTACAGAAAACAACCTAGATGATTAAACATTTATTTAAAACTAAAGTATTAAAGTAATACAAATAAAATCTTTATACTCCAGGAGAGCAATCATTGCACTTTCTTTCCACTAATATGAAGTGGAAAGATTATATTGAATCCATTGCTAGGTCTGCTAATAGAAAAATTGATTCTTTGTATCATGCTAGACCATTTTTCTTGCTAGAATCTGTCTCACACCTTTATAAGTTTACTATTCAACCATGCATTGAATATTGCTATCACATCTGGTCTGGCGCTTCTTTTATGTAGTTAATAATCTTGATAAAATCCAAAGAAGAATCTGCAATGTTATATGTCCTGACCTCATATCATCGATTATACTATTTGTGTATTTTGTTACAAAGTCTTGTTATAAGGATTCCTGAAATCTTTAAGAACTAAATTTTTAAGTTATTAGAAACATATTTAAAATATGTATCTAGGGACTTTTTTTTATATTTTTGTGTGTGCAATGATACAGGTCATCATATTGTATTCAATGTGTTTAATTATTTATATAGCATTTCAATTTCTAAAGAAAGAATTTTGATAAAGCTAATTTACTGATAGTTGAATACAAATGAATAAATCATTTGAAGATGATTAAAGAACACACTGATTAAAATATTTTTGGAACAGATTATGTATGGTTATGAATAACTAAAGAAATTCAAACACTCAACTTTAATACATCACTAAATTTTTCAGTTGAAATACTATTAAAATAATAATTTACAATTACAACTTTAATACAATTAATGGATTATTCTTCCAAATCTATTTCAGTTGAAATGCTAAATTATTCAAGCTACATAATTGCTCTGAGTGTGACAAATGAAAAAGAGTATTAAGGGGAGGTAATTACGTAATGCTTCAGTTACGCTCAAGCTTTTAGTACAGACAAAATGGCTACCGCCGAGCTGGTGCAGTTGATAGAGGAGGAGATACCAGAGGGAAGACAACATCTCCAGGAAAGTTATGCCAATCTTAACAGGGTCGCAGAATATTGCGAAGGGAACTATCTTCAGGTAAAATTCTTTAAAAAACATTCTTGTGTTTTTATTGTGATATCTTTAATTTACTTATCGCAGTCTTGGATTTTTAAAAAAGCGTATAAAAAAAGCTTAAAAACAATGCTTGCGAATTCGCTTGGAGGAAACTCCCTCTTTTATTCTAAAGAAATGATCAACTTTGACTTTTTTTATAATGGGATTTATTTTTACTTTTAATTTAGATACAATGAATATAAACTTTTCATCGTTGGTTTTAACGTTACTTAAATTCTTTAAAGAAAATTAGTGTAAAACGTCGTCCGTTCAGCACTTTTTAGCTGCAACCCCAAAATAGCAAATGACTCTTCATAGCTTTAAAACCGTTTTTTTTTTTTGCTTAATTCCACGAATAATAATAATAGTGGTTATTTTAAGTAAAATTATTACTTACTGTGATATATTTGGATGTTAAGCTTTTTAAGAAAGTAGATAATCACGAAATTATAGATTAATGATTAAATCTCTTGTAATCAGTTTTGTTTGCACAATTCTTTTTTTTTTTTCTTCCTGTGGCACTAGAAAATGGTAAATATGACTTTTAAAAGCAAAAAAAAAACAAAAACAACAACAACAAAAAAAAAAAACAGTTAAAATTAAAAATAATATCTATGGTATAAAAAGATTTATTCCACAAAATACGAAAAAGATAAAAAGCGGGGTTCCTAAAAGATCCTAATATTTATTTTTTACAACAAAAAAGACTTGAGAATTCAATCAAAGATATATTTTTAATTTTATTTAAAAAATACTTTTTATTTTCTACAGAACAAATGTTACTAGTTTTTCAATTATCTCTGTTAAATTTTAATTAACTCCAATCAATGTTATCAACAGCGATATGAAATGTTTATTTTTCAAAGCTACACAAGCACTGACTCGTAATCCAATGTTTTGCCATTTAAAAAAAAATCACAACCTGAATACTGAAGAAGCGACATATGATCGCACTGTCGCTTTTAAAAGAAATACAAATTATATTTTAATTTTATTAACTGATTAAATTTTATCAGCTTCTTAAAAGTTAAAACTTACTTAATCATAACAAATAGATTTCTTTTTTTCACTTCGTCTTCTTCACTGTAGTTGTTGTACTCTCAATATGCATTTTTTTCTTAACGTTCTAAATGCCAATATACATTTTTTTGTCTTGTCAACCAATTACAAATCAACTTCTACAGAGTATATGCAAACTAAATAAATAAGGTGAAGAGAATCTTGGTGTACTGTAGTTCTTTTACATTTTGGGGACCAGCTGCTAAATAAACGTCGTTCAGTATGTCATAAAAAAAGGCATCTAAGTTGCAACTGTTATTTCGTCCAGCAGCAGGTGTTTTTTTTTTTTTTTTTTTTTTAATTAAAAAAAAATTTCGCTGATTATTTAGTGGAAAATAATCGGCTTCTTTTGTGCCTATGCTTCACAACGCTTTAAAGTAACAATGCCATGCAATGATTTTTATTTTACAATGACAAAAAAAATTTATTCCATCAACAATACAAATATCTTTCTATTGATTCATAATTTTTGTTTTGTTAAAAAAATAATTTTTCATTTCTTTTTTCTTTCTGTAAAAATAAAATGTGTGTAGTTCTGATTCGATTCCGGCTATAATTAACTAAAATAGTTTTTTTTTTTTTTTTTTTTTTAAAAAAAACCATTCCAATACAATTATTATGGAATTTTTATACATTCCAGCCAGATTTTTACTTTCTAAATAATGATTTTATTTTTATCTAGAAAATCAAGAATCGTTTTGTTTTTTGTCTTTGTTTAGACAATTTGAAATGTTTTTTTAGTTTTTCTTTCACCTGCTTAAATTTTTATTTTCCGAATTCGCTTCATCTACACTACATATTTCAATTTCTAGCTTTTTAAAATTTTGCAAAAAGAATTTTAAAATGTATAAAATTAAAAAGTTAATTTTAACTTCATTATTTTTTCTTTTTTTTTTTTTTACATAAAGACAGAGAACTAATTGAAAATGCTTGAAAAATGGGTTTTCGAATGTTCATTTGATACTTGGATGATTTGATATTTTATTTTGAAATGCTGTTCATTTTATTTTGTACATAAGAGAAAAATTGTGACGGGAGGAAGTTCCCACTAAAAGTCTAAACTTGAAAACTGAGTCACGCACGCCTTTCCTGGATTTTTTTTTTCTTTTCAGTTACAACCCACACTCCCGACTCAATTCGGTCGGTGGTTATTGTGAGCTGAGAGAATCCTAGAAAAACAACTGTTACTCGTTACTGTTAGTTATTTTTTCTCTCTTTTCAAACATTCATAAATATATTGTCCAAAATGTCTCTGTTACTTGTTGAAGGTACCTAGCTCAAAGCGCGTGATCTCCGAATTGAATGCATGAATTTTGAAGTCATTGAAGCTGCAGGAAAATGCAATGAATACTCTAATTTCATTTTTATTTATCAGCTGTGATTTATTCCAATTAATTATTGATCCATTTTTTCTTTCTTCTCCCACTGATTGCAGGGCTTTTTTTATTTATCGCAAGTTATAAAAATAAAAAAAAACGTTCTATATTTCCTCCAACGAACGATCCTAAAACTCCTAATTTGTTTGATTTTTTTTTCTTTCTTTTTTTTTTTTTTTTTTTTTTTTTATGTGTAGAAAATGTTAAGTTCTTTATGTGATTTCTCTCTTCATGGCGTAGACTATCATGGATCTTCACAACTTCCTATTTTTTTTTGTGTCACATGGCAATGATTTTTTTTGTTTACCATCCTTCCTACTCCCTATTCTATTCTACCATACTTTTTTTATTTATTTATTTTTTTTTTTACACTAAACTAGCTTCTTTTTTGTTTCCCTCTGTCCCTCTTGCTTTCAATGTCCTGCCAGTGTCAAATTCTCTAATTCGTCTTTCCTCATTGTTTTCCAAAAAATTCAAACTCTTTCTGATTCTAAGTATCCTTTTTGTATCCATTTCCTTAAAACTTCCTCGTTGCTCACATGTAGAATCACATTTATGTTACTTCAATGAAGAAATTGTTCAACATTCACTTCCATATAGGAGGATTTTTTATATTACATAGCAGTTCAGCACCCTCTTTTCTTTATTTCTAACAAAATTTTCCTTTTGTTTAGCTTTTGGAAAGCATCTTTTACTATTCTAATGCGCCTTAATATTTCAGCGTCACGTTTTCTGTCATGTGTTTAACACTTTCCAGATATTTAAATTTCTGTATTTACTTGATCTTGACATCTTCAATTTGAAGTTCACTGTTCACATCTTGGGCTGTTTCTCTTGCTGACAACCATACATTCTCTTGTTTTTTACCATAATCCTTTCTTCCTGCTTTCCTTTTACTACCTTGGTGTTCCTACAGTTTTTTCTTTCTGTATCTACTGTCAACATTATCATCTGCGTATCTTGTATTAAGATTGTGTTTAAGTTTTAAGATTAGGACCTTTCTTTTGAGCATTTATTTTTTCATATTAATAAATTGAAAAGTTATTAGGTTTATAAAATTCTTTTTCAAACATTATTAAAATAAACCTCTAGTTTTATTCTCTATAAATACTTCTAAATTTCTGTAGGTTGATAATTTGAGTCAGTTTCCTAGCAACCTATTGCAATTTTGTTTGTAGTCATTTAAGCATAAAAAGAAGTGTCCTTGTGACTTAGAAACATTTTTGAAGTATGGTTATTTCAGTGAAATTAGAAAAAGAACCAAAACAAAACCACCACATTTAACATTAGCTTAATTAACAATTCAGTAATTAGTCACTAACTTGTTTGTTAAATATTCACTATTTGGTTCACATCTTGTATGCAAGTCAGTTTGCCAAGAAAATTTAATTCTATTTTCAGAATTTTTATATTTCATAGAAAGACTTCAATTACTTATCTCTCCTGATAGATTTTAAGTTTTATGTTTATTTTTTTTTTACTTTGATGTACAGATCTGTTAATTTTTTTTTTTTTTATCTGTTTGTGATTCTTGTATGTTTTTTTTTTTTTTAATATTTTTTTTTTCTAATGCTATTGCCAGAAACATCTAATTTACTTCTCCCACCAACTATTATTTTGTTAATAAGAAAAAAGTTGATCATTTTTGGAAATAGTTTCGAAGTCAAGATAGATTTTTGCTTTACTCATTGATTATGGTGAGATTAATCATTCTCATACAGGGAGTATTCAACAGTCATTAACCAAATAGATAACGTTATTATTGATTGAAATTTATAAAATCTTTAAGAGTTGTTGTTTTGTTTTGTTTTTCAGAAAATATAGGCTTCTGAATTCCTATTATTTATTTAGATATTTCTAACACATGGCCCAGTGGATAAAGTGTTGATTGAAGTAATCCAGTGACTCGATCCAAAGAGTTTTGAGTTCAATGCCTGGCTACAGCAGAGGTGAACAAAAACTTTGTAGAGTTGAGTTACTGAAAGAGAATTAACTGAAATTGAGATATCCAGAAAATAAATAAAGGGTTTAGTTTGAAATTTCAATGTCTATCACCTGAAGAAGGCCAGAACATTGTGAAGCTGACAATGAAGATGAGGACAACAGTCCAAACAATGTAAATAGTGTATGGTTACAATACCTCATCTCAGAAGTATAGAGATTTCTAACTGAGTTGGGTATCATCTATGACTTCCATAGGAGTCTAGATCTGGCAAATTTGATTAAGAAGAGCCCCACTCAAATTCTTGCATTAATATTTTGGTTTTAGAGCATCTTATGCTGCTGGACAAAGTTTATAAAGTTAGTTTGATGAAACTTTAGTGCTTGCTCTGTCTTGTTCTGAATGTCTGACAAAGATCTGCTCATATCTTGGAGCCATCAGTAATTTCCACTGTATTCCTTTTAGTTATCTTTGTTTTTATTGGCTATTTTAAAACCTCTTCATTGCAAGAATCCATTATCATTACAGGAAAATAATTTTCATTTCTCTATTAAGTGTAAAACTGAGATCTACTTTTGGGTCTTAGTCTCTTCAAAAGCAGATGAGAAATCTAGTTGAATAAATTACAGGAAGAAGGCTAAAATGTAGATATTGTGTGTATGGTTATGAACACTTTTAAATAAAATTTTAAAACTGAAATATTTTCTTTGAAGCTTTAATTTTGGTTTTAATTCTAATAAAATAATAGTAACTATTTTCTTGCTAAAACCAAAATTAAAACTTCAAAGAAGATTTTTCAATTGTTGGAAAGTTTTAATTAAAATGTCTATAGCCATACATAAAATATTGGAATGGCAATATAATGTGGATCACATCCTTTTTGTAGTTTTTCTTGGTTTCTGCCTTTCAATTCTATGGTCCTTCTGTGGTGCACAATCTTGAAATAATGGTTACTCATTTCAGAATGAAATAATGTATCTTTCTCGGTCAAGTTCATTGGTTGACTGCCTAGAAAATGATTCTGATGTGAGCTTAATTTTCCAGTTACCATAGAATATTGACAATACAGTGTTTCTGCTATTTGTTTTGTATATGGAGTTGATGCCGTGCAGCAAAAACTGGTTGGATATGGTAGAGAAAGACCACAAAGAGGAAGTTCTTATAGACACTACAGGAAATGATTGGAAAGATCAATGTATTGATCAACAGAACACATTTTGATCTTTCTGAATAATGATTACATTATTTTTTGGTTTTAGATTTTTAGTCTTTAAGATTTCACTTAATGCAGTTAGTCATGTATCATCCATCAATCAAATTAAGGTTGACAGTAGTTGGGATCAGTCATTGTAAACTCCACAATACTTTCACCAGGGCTACATATAGTTTTGAATTCAGTTTTCCTTCCTTTGTTACCACCCAAGGATATAAGACCCAATCTGTCCTATTTACACATAGCTAGGAGAAGAAGAGATGGATTCATACCTTTTCTCATGTATGTCATTAGTATTAACATTTTCAAATTGCCTTTTTGCAGAAACCATGTCAAATTTTGCAGTGCTAATCTATCTATATATGAAATTCTGTGACTTCTGTTAGCCTGTCACATCCATTAAAATATCCATACATTGACTGATTGAAACCAAATTTTGGGGAGAAGTGCAAACAGGTAAGGGGGTACAAAGTACAGTTTGATAATTATTCAAATTTCATCTATTTAGTTTGCAAAATTGAACAAAACATAGTTTGTAAATCGCAACAAAAAATGTTAGCAATAATTTCAACAATGCTGTGAGGGTTTCAACATGTGTCTGTGTTGCAAAAAAAATTCTAGTTAATGACAAAAAAGCAAATATGGAGATTATCTGAAAAAATTCTGCCTACAATATATTATATCAAAGTAGTCATATAACTAAATACATTTCTTGCTTTGAGTTTCTCTATTAGAGTATAATCATAAGGAAGTATTGAATATTTTTTTTCCTTCATTAAAAATACTTTTCTACTATCTGAACAGGATCTTTTATTGTAAGTTTTTGGGAAATAATATATTCCAAAAATGTGTTGTAAAATATAGTGAATCTTATCAAATATATACTTTTGTTTTTATTCTCAGTCTGATGACAAACACAAGGCTCTGGAAGAAACTAAAAACTATACAACACACTCCCTGGCCAGTGTGGCTTACCAAATCAACAATTTGGCAGCCAGTTTTCTTAAACTTTTGGACTTGCAACAAGGTCAGTTGGTCGAAATGGAATCCAATGTCAACCATCTTGCACAGGTAAGTATATACTGCTGTTAGAGTAAAATTATTAGTGATCTCTACATTGATGAGCCAAAACATTAAGACAACCTAATAAAATATTTCTCTTCCATGTGCCCTCAAAATAGATAGGTATGGTCTCCACAAGACCACTAAAGGTTGTTCTGGATATTAGCAGTAGGTCTTTTAACTTCTGGAAATCACATTGTGCAAATTCTTATGAGCAAACTTATTGGTTTAATACATAAATGTTTAATGGGATTGAGGTCTGGGTAGTTTAGTGGCCAGGGCAACGCAGTGAAGTCTCATTCAAGTGCTTGAAACCATACTCATGTGGCTTGTATTGAGTGGTAGTGTGTCGATCTGTGTGATGATAAGACATGATTTACCAGTTGATAATAATTTGACAGATTAGTCCAATTTTCTTTACCAGTTGTATTATGTACAGTATTTCTATTAATAATTTGTCTAGCGTTTTTGACAGATTAAGAACCCTTTAGAACTCGGCTGAGGGAAAATTTGATCCTAATTCTAATTCCGTGCCATGTTTGATGGATTTCTTATTCTTAATTTCACTGCTAATTTTTTTTAAAGGGTTCTCCACTGAAATCTAACCAATTGAAAATTAAGAAGCATCTCTTCTGATGAATATTATTAATGAGGATTAACCTAAAGAAGGTATTGGCTAAAGTTTTTTTTTAAGAAGCATCTCTTCTGATGAATATTTTATGAATTAACCTCAATGGAAGGACTGGAAGGACTGCAATTCAGTTTGGATCTGTTGATTCAAGCAGTGATATATGAAGTGGCAACTTTATTTTCCAAACAGTCTTAAACAAAGATCTGTTTGAAAATACATATTTTCCCTCTTAAAAGCTTATGCCTGATTTCCATTTGTTAATATAAAAATGATTACAACTTAACACTGGTGTTTGTTTTGGTGCTGATTTCTAGTGTATTCTAGATTGAAACATTTCATCATTCAGTTGTGAGTCAGACTTTATTGAATTTTGTCCACAAATGAATGCCTTAATGATGGGGGATGAAAAGTTGTATTTTCCCCATATTATGCTCTATGAATTTCAGAAATGAGCAAGACTGCCTGTTGCGAAACAGACCTTACAGATGCTTAAAGATTTGAAATGGGAAACCCTCCAACATCCAGTTTATTCTTCCGATTTGGCACCTTTGAATTTTCATTTGATCCAGGCTCTACAGAACAATTTAAATGACAAACATCTTGACTGTACAGTCAGTTGAATCAACCTCACAATCTCCTTCCAATAAAAAATACACTAAGTTTCTATGAAAATGGCACCAACAAGCTTTTAGAATGATGGGATATAGTTGTTAAAAACAATGGAGACTATGTACACTTGAAAATTGCTTTGGCACGAAACTCAGAGTTGAGCAATTAATGTAAGATATTATGTATATTGCTTTTTATATATATATATATACACACACACATACTGTGGTCATGGTGAGGGAAGAAATATATTAAAAATTGGTCAAAATGGATTGAGGAAATGAAAGACATTTTTTTTTTATATTATTCATTCAGTTTCCATATTGTAATATTTTATGCTTATACTTTAATTCTAATGGATCAACATATTACATTTAATTATTTAACAATATATTTTCAAACTAACTATACATGCACTCTTTTTTATGGTTGTTTTTGTGAAACATAACACTTGAACATAGTGAAAGGTTTGATAGTTTTATGTTTAGGTGAGAAGAGAGAAGGAAGATTTTACTGGCTTTTTTTTTTTTTTTTGTGTGTTCTGGGATGGAGAAAAATGAAGAGAGTGGAAAAAGAAAAGATATAGAACATTTATTTTTCTTCAGTTAATTAATGCATTTCAGCTTTGGGAAATTTAAAAACATGCAATCATTGAAAATTACCAAGAGGAGAATCAGAAGAAGTTGGAAAATGAAGATAGACATTTAAGAGTTTAATAAAGAATATTGATTTCATAGATGTCCATTTCTAAGACTGCCCTTTCTGGACTACTTATGGTTTCATGGTTTTTTTTATAAACTTCCTAAATCTTAGAAAATGAATTTATTTGAGCAAAAAAAAAAAAATTTTTTTTTTTTTTTATTGCTATCCTCTGCCAGCTGCAATGACAGAGAAAGCATTACCTCACACAATCACCAGTGAGATATGCTGTAAGAGCCACTCCATTTTTGCAAGGCTCATCCTTTAATCGAAATGCAATCCTGCTAACCCTTTGAAGGAGCACCATCAAACATCAAAACAAAGGCCAATAACCCCAGAAGTCTCCACTGTCACTGGAGTAAAAATAAATCTGTTTGCAAAAGAAGAATATTTAACTATTTTTTAATCTCCACATCCTGAGCGACGGATCCTGGCTCAACCATGGACCTAACCAAATTACTGGTCAAAAATTTGTCTGAACAGGTCGCATCCCAAATCAATGGTAATCACATCTGGCTGCTTTCCATCACCACAGTTGAGGCCTATGGGTTCGATTTGGGAAGGGAACCCAGCTGCACCCAGACCTTTTCTTATGATGTCATTTATTGCTGCATGTCCTGGAAAGCAGGCAGCACTACAAGGACAAGAGAGCGGATGCAAACCAAACTCATCAATGGAAGCTCCACATCTGCATCTGTGATGCTCATGTAATTTGAACCCAAGATTGGTTGTGACTATGACCAGAGCGCACTCATCATCCAGAATGGTACTGGTAGATGAGGACCGGACACCACTACTCAATTGTGAAGCAGATATTAGGCAGGCGAGACAGTGCTGATCCAGAGAGAGACTCAAATTAGTAAAATTGGCCTCGAATTTTATTTTATACCAGCTTTCTGTTTTGATGTGTCTTGTGGGATAAAAAGTAATTCTTGGGCTCCACCGCTGCATGCTTGTTCAAAAGAGCTACCTGAAAAACATTGAGATGATCCACTGAGTATCTCATCAACTCATGACTGGAATAAAGTAAAGAAAGATATGCTGGAAGGGCCAAGTCTGGCGTTAATTGATGGTCCAGGACTCCAAAACTCAAAGGGAGTTTTGCCTGCCTCCAGCCTGTGTCATCAAAATTAATGTTGCAAATTAACTCTGCACATTTCTTAATTGTGATATCTATCTTAAGAAATCCTGTTTGATATAGCAAGGGGCACTTTTATTATTTTTAAAATAACTGGAAGGTTTGCAATTGTTAAGACCTGCTGTTCCATAAGCCACTACTTTGTGGAACTAGCTCACAAGAGGATGCTTCTCCAAATCACTACAATTTTAACTTGTTCATGTATAGGGTTAACTGTTATGTTCTTTATATATCTGCATGAACTGTACCTCTTACTCTACCTTGTACTGGGTGAACACCATTGTAAAAAAAAAAAAAAAAAAAAAATTATTGAATCTTTTCATAATGAAAAAGAAACTTTTCAATTGTAAAATGATGAGACCTTGTCACAAATCTAGTACTGCACTTGGGTTCATAAAGTCTAAGTATCATAGAGGAAAGTTCATCAGAACAATTATCAGTATTTATAGAAAAGGTTCAGGGAAGCTACGTTATGGTGGTGGGAAAGGGACTGAAACTGAAATGTCTAATCAGGACCAATAACATTGCAGATTCTTCTTTGGATTTTATCAAGAATCTAAATATATAACAGGAGCACCAAACCAGATGTGGCAGCAATATTCAAAACCAGTTTGGATAAAATATACTTGTTATTTTGATGAGTACTTTCTACATGTTTATAGTTTGTTCAAAATGAGTCTACCAGATTTATTTTTTCATCTTATAACAAATTTTACAAAGAATGTTTGATTTTATTTAATATAAAAAACATAAATAAAGGAAAAAAACTAATTTCTAATTTGAAAAATTATATAAAACTATTGCTTCTCTTAGACAATATTTTTATAAAAATCTGTGGTATTCATCTTGCATAGACTGGTCTCATTCACTGCCCATGTATACCCTCTCATAGATTAAAGAAAGCCTTTAATTTAGAATTCCCTTTGGGTTGCCCAGATCAATATGCACCTGATGAAGACCAGAGGGCACAACAGCCAAAATGGTGTGATAACAACAAAGATTAAGATAATAGTCTGAATATAAATAGGGTAAATAACTCCTCATCCCAACAATTCAGACAGAAAGTAAAATGCATATAATCTGATTAAGATCATATTTTTAATAGAATAAAGAGTAGAATATTACTGGAGTAAAAATATTTCAGATAAATCTATGAACTAATAATTGTTTTTATTGGCTACCATTATACACACAATATTTAAGTGTTTGTTATAGTCTAGTGGTTTAACTAATCTCACAATCAAATGATAGTAAATTTGATTCACATTGGATTCTATCTAGTTAAGCTTAGTAAATTTATGTACAAAACCTATAAGAAATGAAATATATGAAAATTCAACGAAATAATTTTTTTAAGTGGTTTTGGAAGAGAAAAATAAACCCTGGCAAGTTTTAATGAAAAAATCTGACATTTTTTTCATTATTTTAGATGTAGTTGATTTAAATTATACTGATATCTTTATACATTTTATTATTTATATAGTTCAAGAAAATGTAATTAGTGAACTTTGGTTTTATTGCATGTCAAAATAATTCCTATTTCTTCTGCCCGGTCGGTGGGGCATCAGAATACGCCGACTGCCCCCCTGCAGAGGGTAAAAGTCCCTCAATGGGGCCACCTGTTGGCTGTGGGTGGCGACCCGTAATGTCTGGGGACGGGATCCTGGTGGTTGAGCAGGTTGTAACCCAGGTGTAAAGCGGTCACAATCTTGTAACACACCACTTTGGCCCTTACCTGGGCTAGACGGGCGGTCGGAGGGCCCGATCCGATCAATCGGCTGGTCATGTCAAGCCCCATCATATATAATCCAACCCAAACCTATAACTGACACTCCTCTTCCCAACCAAAACTAACACTTAACTCTAAATATGTGATGGAAGGCGGTGGCTGAGGGTCAATCAATTTGGGGGAAAAAAGTATCTGACACACTT